AAGGCTTCTCCGCCTAGCTGTGGGGGATAAAGGAGAGTCATGTTTGTAGTGCAATACACAGAGGGTGCCTCTGGGGAGTGGACGTAGGTCGAGTTGACCAAACCACTATAAATCCTTGTGTTCTTATTTTTACTGCTTCCGTATTTATTTTCTTCCGCACTTATTTTTGTGGTGATTTGGTTTGTGATAATCGTTCTTTTTGTTTAAACAAATTTTTAAATACCAATTCAGTCCCCCCTCTTGGTTAGCCTTGGGCCAGTTCTATAGGGCTTAATATCCCTAACGAACTTTCACACTAGCCCATGGTGGAGCATTAGATGGATGTATCACCAAACGAATGCAGGTTAGAAAATGATAAAAGTTGTAGTGGACTTAGAAAGTTTGGTATGCTATGTGATGTGGTACCTTTGATGTATCGTAGGAGATTTTTGAGAAGTTGAGAGTGTTGAGGAATAGGTTGATGTATGAGTTAGTATAGTCAATTCATAGTAAGGGTCGGGTGATGGTTAGGTATTGGAGTGAGCTAGTGAGGTCGTGGTAGGTGGCGGGCTCAAAGGAGGTACTAGTGGGTGTCTGATTGAAGTGTGGTTTGACTAGAGTTGACGAGGAGGTGGGCTTGCAGGAACTAAAGTAAGCTTAATTGAGAATGAAGAAAGCATAGTGCTCCTGAGAAAAAAAACATGGAATTGTGGCTGTTGTGAATTTGAATGCCCCAAAATTGGGATAGAAATCCAAGGTGTTCCATGGAAATTTTAGAATGAAGATTGTGAATGATGTGTTGAAGTTTGGAGGGAGAGTTACTGATAAGTAAGATATCTTCAACATATATAACTTGGTAGATAAAGGTTCCTTTGGACTCATATATTAGGAGAGAAGGATCAGATTGGCTTTGATGAACGCCAAGAGTAGGGGTGCTTTTTGAGGACATGAATAGCTTTCTTGAGGAGACAGACTTTGGTGTGATAGGTTGGATCTTCTGAGTTGAGACATGTATAAAGAAGGCATATGAGATGTCTAATTGATGAAGTGACCATCCTTTAGATATTTCAAGGGTGTGGACAACTTAGATGGAAGGCTTTTTAGCAACTAGATTGAATTTCATTATGTAATTGAGACCATACTCTTGTCGATGACACTGAGCCACGAAATAGGCTTTGCAACGTTGAATGGAACCATATGATTTTAATTTCGGCTGATAGGTCTATTTTCATCTTAGTATTGGTGTATTAGGTTGTTGTGATACAAGTTTCCATGTGTCCTATTTTTTGAGAGCTTTGAATTATGCTATCATGGAATTGTGCCATTCAGGATGTTGGAGAGCATCTTTGAATGTAGAGGTTTATTTAGGAGGTGTGGTAGAGGTTATTAGATTCAGAAGTTAGCGAGATTTGAGGTGTCCAATTTTGGACTAGGTAATTATGGGATGAATTGGAGGAAAGGTATGTGAGAGGTCAGGCAGCAGAAGGTATGAAGGTTGTGATGATATTGTGGTTGGGAAAAGCGGTGAGGAGATGGGAGTTGCAGGTTGAGTGGGGGAAGAGATTATGGTTGGAGTGATGGATAAATAGGTGGTAGGTGTGAGTAGTAGTGGATTGGAGGGTGGTTGAGTGGGTATGTGAGGAATGAAGCGAGTTTGTTGTGTTATTAGAAAAACTATTTCATAAAATTAAATGTGACAAGAAAGTTTTATTTTTCCTATCCAGATATCAAGGTTTTTATATCCTTTGGTAGTAGTGTTAGATTATCCAAGAATGATACAAAGGGTGGGACGAGGATGTAATTTTTAGAGAGTGGATGTTGGAATCCATGAGAAGCATGCACAACTAAGGATGCGAAGGTGGGAGTAGGAAAGTGAATTGTTAAATAGAAGTAGAAATGGTGATTATTTCTTAGGAATTGGGGTCGGCATTTTATTCATAAGGTATACAACAATAAGAGTAGCATATGGTTGGTAGGTCTAGGGAATATTGGCAGTTTGAAGTAGAGTTCAAGCAGTCTCGATGATTTTATTCTTGTGTTCGGCAAGACCATTTAGCTCAGATAAGGATAACTCGTTTGATGAAGAATGTCACGAGCTTGCAAAAATGAATGTACAAAGTGATTAATGAACTCGGTTCCACAATCAGTGTGTATAGATTTTATTTAAAAGGGTAGTTGTTGCTCAATGTATGTTTTGAATTGAATGAATAGAGTAATGACTTCAGATTTTGTAGTCATTGGAAATAACCAGATGTAGCAGGAGAAGTCATCAACCAGAAGTAAGTAATATCGGTAACCATAACTGGATAACAATGGGGGAGGCCTCCATACGTCATAGTGTAAAAGTTCTAATGGGTTACATTTTCAATTAGAAGAATGTATAAATGGTATTTTGTGGCTTGTAGAGGCTATACACGAGCAACAAGGAGGGGAATTTGCCGAAATATTAAATCTTTATTATGTTTGGAGATGACGGTGATGGTTTGAATGTGAGGAAGTCCTAGACATTGATACTAGTGGAGGTCGATTGTAAGAGATGTAGTGAGAGAATGAATGGAGGACCGATGGGGGAGCCATAATGGGTATATGCCATTATTGGAGGGACCTTGATGGATGCATTGGTCGTATTGGTTCAAAATTTTGTAACCTGATGCATCAAAGGAAATAGTGAGATTATTCTCACGGGTGAGATTTAGATCAAAATAAAATTATGAAAAATATGTATAGCATGTAGAAGATGAGATAAATGTAGCTTACAATTGGGAGTTGGAAGAATACCTTGACCGGTATGAAGAATGGAAGTAGTGGAGCAATTGACAACAGCAATTTGATCGGTTCTTGTGTAGATAGTGAGATGAATTAGGTTGTTGACGTAGGACGTCTGAGTAAACAACGCACCAAATTCTAGTACCCACTTGGTCTAGAGGAGTTGATGTCAATGAGGAGAGGAATGCCTTTGGAGTGGAGTTAGAAGATGTGGGGTTATAATTGATGTCTGGACGGTGCCAACAGTTGTTGGCGGTGTGTACTCATTTGTTGCTGATCTAGTAGACAATGGGTGGTTGTGAAGGTCGATTGTTAGGTGGATTATGAAGGATGTGTTTGGTTTAGTTGGGAAAGAATCGAGTTCTGCCTTGACTATATCGGTTTTTGCGGGTGATGTAGAGAGCTTGTGTGGTATTTTGAGGTAGTTGAGTTTTGGATGATTATGAGGCTAGATTAATCTCTTCACTTATAAGGAGAGAATAGAAGTCATCAGAGGTAATCAAAGTAAGATGGGTTATGATGGAGGTTTCGAAGGATTGGTATTGAGGAGGTAAGAGTGTATAGTATAATGTCTTTAGCGTCGATAGTAACCAATTGCTGAGATGTTGTCTACCAACATTTTGATGTCGAAAAGAATTGATTCATGAATGAGTTTTTCATAGAGATTTTATGAAGCTCATTCTTGAGCTGTATTATGCGGGAGCAATTGGTGGCATGGAGCCGATGTTCAAGCATTAGCTAGATCTCGTTGTACGTGTGTAAATATTAGACATAAGGATAGAGGTGGAGAGAGTGGAGCATAGTGTTGCTGACATTTTTGGTCTACTGAAAGCCAATGAAGATATATTGGGTTGGTGCCAAGAGGCTTGAATCAGATGTAGAGATGGTAGATGGTGTGATTTCGTCAGTGCTGAGCAGATGCTTGGAGAAGCCATTTGCGGTGAAAAGCTTAAGGATTTGGGACCTTCATATGGAGTAAGTTCCATTGGAGGGCTGAGTTGGAACGATAGTTTTGAGATTAGATAGGAAGAACTTGAGAGAAGCAGGGATGTGGGGATCTAATTAAGATAGAGGCAGACCAGCTTCACCGAGCTGTGTGGAAGATGATAGCTCCATTTCTAACATCTATATCATGAGGTATAAGGGCTCTAATACTATGAAAACTAATATTAAAGCAATAGTATTTTAAAGGAGTAAAAGACATTCACTATTGATTTTCAAAGTGGGAGTATATATAGACATCTTTACATCTGTGTGATGCTTTTACTTTACACGTGTAAGGTAGATATTATATTAGGTGGTTATAGGCATGTGGAGTGGTTTAGTTGTACGGTGTCATATGCAATAGTCGTTCTTGGTGGCTATTAGATCGACACAACTAAATATCACACAGACTAACAAAATTACACATGCAACCTATTGCGCCCCAAGAACTAGGAAGCAAGAGACATATGCCGAATAGATTACACCCTTAGCCAAAACTGTTGCAAATAAGGAACCCTTTTTATTCTATTCTTTTAATCTTTTCTGAAATTAGGGACCTTTTCTCTCTATTATGGTGGCCCTGCACTTTTTAGTTATGTTGATAAGAATCTCTGGTACAGGCCATGTTGTTGCCAGCTTTTTTTATTTTTATTTTTAATACTTCTAATGTTTGGAAATTGAAAACGTAAGACACAAATTTGATTGGGATAAACTTTAACAACAATTTTAACATTTTTTTTATGAATCAAATTGACTTGCACCCATTTATCCACGAAACTGCTCTATTTTTCGTGGGTAAAAATAAAGAGTTTAGAATTAGAAATATTGAGTAAATATTCTAAAGATGCCACACATAACTGTATCATTCTCTTCTTCTTTATCTTTCTCTATTTGTTTCTTCCCTTTCGGTAATTAATACTTAACTAATGCATTTACAGAAAGCGCTCCAATTGTAAAATACTGTTTTTCTTCTTATGATTTAATAAGAAGGCTTGTTTGTTCACATTGAACGGTCTTAAACCTCTAGTTTATACAGTACTTCAGATGTCTAACAAATCTTTGCGATTAAATAAATTCTTTTGTTCACATCCTGCTTTTATGCTTTGTAGCAACCTATCTTACATCATTAATCAATTTAAAAATGAGCAGATAAAACTGTTCCAAGTCTTCTCTTGTCCTCTCTATAGCTTATCAGCTATCTTCGTCTCTTTCTTCTAATGAAAACTATGCTCCCTCTTTCTTGGCCAGGAGTTTACTTCTGATGCAGGCGATAGGCGCCATCTTCCCTCCTCCACCAATCAGTGGAAGGAGAACATAAAAGAGAGAGAAAGAGATAGGTGGAGTTCTCTGTTCTCACAGAAAACCATGGAATCTTTTTTATGATTTAATACAGCCTTTCTGAAACTAGGACTTGATTGATCTCCCATTCTTTCACACGTGAAATTCACACGCTTTTCAAGCTACCGCTGCCGTGATTATAGGGTAAGTATGCTCCCTGTCTCCCTCACTCTCCCTCTCTCTCTCATTTATAACGAAGAAAAGTGTAGGTGTGTGCAACTAATGGAGTTATCCATGATTTGTAATACCGTTTTCTGTCAGAAAGAAGGAAGATTTGGTTATGGATTCTTCTATTGTGATTTCTGAAGTTAACATATAATTGGGTATTCTCAGCAAGCTTCCGTTTCTGTTTCAAGTTGAGTGCAAAGGGCACTGCGAAACAAAATGGCAGAAGAAGAGTTACCAAATTCGGCTGAAGAATTAAATGCACTCAGCGCATATCCGATGTACTTTGGCGTTTCGTGTGCTTTCCTTGCTCTTCAGTTCCTGTCCTCCGTGGACGGACCAAGCGCAGAGCCTGGCCAGCGAAAGTACTTGTTCGAAGAGATTTTGCTTCGAGGCAGCGCCCAGCTTTTAGGATTGTTATTTGAGAAAGCTCAAAGAAGGCATGAGTTTCTACAAGAAAATGAGAGGAAGGCCATGTTGGAAGTCGTGGAGCTGAGGCAGATTCGCGCAGAGGACGCCAAGGCCAACGAGAAGGTTATGTCCATCTTTGCAGGTCGCGAGCAGAGCTGGCAAGCAGAAAGGAGGCGCCTTTTGAATCAGATCCAGTCCCTGTCGCGTGAATTGTCCCAAGACAAGTTGAGGAATGAGGAGGTCGTCTCTGATCTAAAGAAGAGAGTTTTCGAGGAACAGCAGGCGAGAAGGATCAAAGATGACGGTTTTGAAGAAGAAGCAAAGAAAAGATTGGATTTGGAAGAGAGGCTGCGAGCTGCGCAGAAAGCAGTTGAGGAGTTGAGGGAGAAAACAAACAAGGAAGCGCAGGATCACATTTTAGAGCTCAGAAGGCATAAGACAGCTTTCACGGAGATGGTTTCCAACCAAAGGCAGCTGGAACTAGAGATGGCTCGTTTGCTTCGCCAAGCTGATGCACTAAAACAAGAGCTCGAAGAAGTTTTTGAGCAGAAGGAAGAGGCTGGAGCTATGGTGGAGAAACTTTCGGATGAGTTTGTTAAAGTTCAAAAGGACGCCGAGCAGAAAGGGAAGATTGTTTCGGCCATGCTTAGAAAAGCGAAGCACGATACAGCTGAGAAACAGGCGCTTTTAAAGGAGGTGAAGATAACTAGGGCGAAGAAGAAGCAAGCGGAGCTTGAGGCTGAAAGGTGGAAGAGCATGTTGGAAGCAAAACAGAAGAAGGGCTCACGAGAATTGCCTTCAGCTGAAGCTGGGAGTTCACGGGAAAGAGTTGCAGAGTTTCAATCAAGCACTAGGGTTGACCTGAGAACACGTTTACTTGAGTACTTGACCACAGAGAACAAAAGAGAGCCTCAACTTCCCACAGAGAAGGTGGAGAGTGTAATCAAACCAATGGAGTTTCAGGTTCAGTTCTTGAACGACAGTGATGATGATCTTGGTAAGCCTTTCTTTCCTACTTTTAGCATTCGTTTTGAGCAGTTTTCTATGCTGCAAAATAGATGCCAATTTACTCATTTTATGAAGCTTTTGCTAGAATCCTGATAGCTAATATCTGCAGATAATGTTCAAGAGCTGCAAGATTGGGTTCATCATGAAACTAAAAAATACACAACAGTGCTGGAGCAAAAACATTATTCAGAGATTGAAGCATTTTCAGAGCAACTGAGAATAAGAGATGAGAAGCTGGAGGCTTTGCACTGGCGACTACTAAGCACCGAGCTGGACTCAAAGAGGCTGCAATCTCACATCGAAGGGCTTGACGGCAGTCTTACACAGCTAAGGGATGATAACCTGAAATTGGAAGCTCTGTTATCGGATAGGGAAAGGGAACTAAAATCATTGAAGGAGAGATTCAGCCTTTATGGCAAGCATTTTCAGGTGAGCAATTCTCCTTCCATTTCCGAGTTCTGTTTGCCCCAATCTTTTGATTCATTAATGAAGGTGTCAAAAAAGGAATCGAAAGCGGATGAAAGTTCATATGAAGTAGAAAAAAATAAGCAGGAAGATAGTGAAATGAAAAATGTAGATGAAATTGTATTGCTTAGAAAAGGAAGGATTGGAATGGAAGCGGAAGCAACCATTTGTAATGATTCGTTTTCATCGAAAAACGTTTCTGGGGATCAGTCAAATGAGGAAATTTTACTTGACGATCAATCAGGAAACGTTCAAATGATCTCTCAGTCTCCTGAAGGAGAGATCGAATTAGAGAGGGATATTGGCATGGCTCTCATTCATTCCCATGCAAGGCACAATTCCTTGGAAGATGCCTTTGCCTCAGTGTCCAGTAAGTTAGCTTCTGAAGGACAGCCTTTTTTAAAGATGGATTTTCAAGCTCTTGGAGTTTCCTTCAAGATTAAAAGGCTAAAACAGCAACTTCTTATACTAGAAAACTTGGCTGGTACACATTCATCTGATCATGCAACAGACAATTCTGATTCAACTGGCAGTACTAATGAGAAGAACGTTGAGTTGAAAGGTTTAATACAAGTAATTTCCTTACTCAACAAGCAACTAAAGAGGTATCAAACTCTTGAAGAGAAGATTGATGCCTTGTGCAAAAAGATGGTAAGAAATCATAAACATTTCTTCTACATGTTTGAAGTAAGAAATACATAATTTAATACAATTTGTGACACTATATGTTGCAGCATGAGAATTCTGGGACTGTTACTGGTCGCCTTCTTCTAGATGCTGGAACTAAAGATAAAATTGACAAACTCGAACAATTTCTTGAAGAGACCTTTCAGTTACAAAGGTACATGGTTGCAACTGGGCAAAAGTTGATGGAGTTGCAGTCCAAGATAAAAAGCAGTCTTGATGGTGTTGAAGCACAAGAGGAATCAGCTGTATTTAACCTGGAGCAGTTTTTAGATGTTGTTAGGACTCTTTTCAAAGAAGTTCAGAGAGGACTGGAGGTAAGAATAGCTCGAATAATCGGTGACCTCGAGGGAACTTTAGCTAGCGATGGCATCCTTAGAAGATGATACTCTCTGATTATGATTTATTAGTCTTGCTTTAGAACGTATTATTCAAATTATTCTTGATAGTGAGTAATAAAAAGAGTATACATAAATGGATTTCATTACAAAATTCCGCCTGATGTTCCTTTTTTCCCACATATTTTACAAAGGGAAATCAAATCTCAGATAGGAGGCTAATTCAATTGCCATTGACATTTTGTTGCTTTTATTTATTTGTGTTTGTAAATTGTTTTCCATTGTAATGAGTGATTGCTAAGCAAGTTTTCTTCAATTTGTTTATATTCATGATAATCAGGTGAAGTTCCTGTTACGCTGAAGCACAAAGCAGCATAGGTGAATAGTTTCATGTTTTTGACTGAGTAGGTTATACAGGGAGAACTGTTTTCCATCCAACTGAAAGAAAATTCTGCTATGATGTATTGATTAACTTGTTTTTCCAATTGCATAAATGTTTTTGATGTTTTTTTCATCATTTAAATGTGTTTTACAATAAGTCCATCGGAGTTGCCTCAACTTTCAATGCATAGGAGCCCATGGTGCTCTATAAAAGAAGTCAATAATTCAATGGTTGGATTTTCAAGCTATTCGTCTTAATGATCAAAGTTTCGTTTGATATAAGGCTTATCGAAGATGTTTTCTCAATCTTAAATCATCTATTCAACATTCTCAAAGTAAATTTTACATAACAATTTCTTGGACAAGAATAAAATGATGTTTCAATTTTTTTTTTATCAAAATAGCATTTGTTTTTTACGATTACTTTCTTATCATAAAATAACGTGAAAAAAAAAAACAAATGAAGTTTAAGAAGTATTTTAATCGAGTGCAAATCTCAAGGCATATTTGAATCAAAAGATTCCAAAATTTTATTTAGAATCATTCAAACTCCAATTAGCAGGGATTAAGAGCCTGAAGCGTAATAGAAAATTTTAGGGTTGTTGAGTGTCAGAACATTCATGATGGTAGAAAGATATGTAGTATAAAGTTTTAGCTTTATACAATGATCCAACACATACAAATTGATAGAGGGGGTGCAAGAGTCAAAAGAAATACCAAAATATTTACATGAAAAATCTTGAAAAAGGTATCATGGGGCTTTGGTTGGTTGAAATATTTTCACTAGTGTTTGTTGTTGATTACAAATCATACCCTTTCTCAGGGGAAAGCATTGGCACATTGTAGCAATTATACATCATTTAGAGCACATTATATGATTAGAGTTGAAAAAATTAAATGGCATGAGAGCAATTTATAAAAGATTATTTTCTTATATGTTTGTTTGGCAGAACCATTGTTAGGTGATAGTGATCAAAGGATTGTAGGTGGGTGATTGAGGTCAGATCGAGGGACTGTAGTCGGGTGATGGTGGTCAGATGTATCATAGTCGAGTGCTAACGGTCAATGGAATTGTTGTTGGCTACTAAGGTTGGAGTGACCATAGTAGAGTGACTATGGCTGGAGGGGCTATAGTCAAGCAGCAATGAACGGAGGGACTGTAGTCAGTTGATAGAGGTCAAACAGACCATAGTCGAGTGATAGAGATTGGAGGGATCGTATTTAAGCGATTGAGTTTGGGTGAAGACCATGCGGTGGTGCCCAAACGGAGGTTCAACATTGATGGTTAGGTGGGTATCAACAACAATGGTTGGGTAGAGGTCCAATAATAGCAAAAATTGGGTTGATTCTTGGTGATGGCCGGTCGGTTAAAGTATGAAAGTGGCGGCTGTGCGGCTATGGTTTCTGGGCGGCAGTGCCTGGGTGGAGCTCTGAGAATTTTTAATCCTTTAAGCTCTCTTGATCTGATCTAGCCCAATATCTATGGCTCTAAATGTCACTTCAATGTAGAGAGAGAGAGAGAGAGAGAGAGAGAGAGAGGGTTTATTTTTAGATTTTGATGGTGGAGTGCATCATACCCTGACATGGGGTAGATCTAGAAAAAATTTTGAGTGATCCATCGAATTACCAATATTGATTTAGTTGATTATGAACAATTTGAAAAGTATTTAAGTGTCTTAATGATGTTATAATAAAGCGATCTTATGCTCATTATATTTTTTTCATTGACCCGCTCAATTCAACTATTAGCATGCCAAATTTGGATATTAGTTGGTCACTCTATTAATATTCTGAAGCTTCCAAATATATATCAAGTCATCGATTTGAGTTCATTTCGGCTCAGATTGGACCAATTTTAGTGTTGATGGATTTGTCTCATGAAGATGTTATGTTTGATTATAAATTTGTTGAAATTGAAGTTAGAATGGTCCCAAATTTAATTTTCAATGTTTCCAATTTGAATATGCCTCAAGATTTGAGCTTGATCAAGGCAATTTTTCGAGACATATATCAAGGGCATTAATTTTGTGACCAAATGATCGAAAAATGTGATAGGCTTATAATCAAATAAAGTGAATCCATGAGACAAATCTAATGAGCCCTATATTACTTAAGTATGACCTTATTAAAGCAATTTAATGTTAAAGAAATGATCTATGATCAAAAGAATCAATATGTAATGTATGATGGGGTGTTTCTAATATTCTCCATATTTATAGGATATACCACTCTAGAAAATCTATAAATATACCCACACTCTCTATATGAAAGGAGATTTGAAGAAAATGAGTTTAAGCTTGGACATTGGGTTGAGATTCATTGAAGCTCAAAGGATCTAAAGATATCTAAGCACCATTCGAGCATCACTATTAGGCCACCATCTATCCATGATTGTTAGACCACTGTCCGACAACACTAAAAAAAACCTCTAACTATCATTTCCAAAACTATGCACAATGCAACTGTCTAGTCACTTTCTAACAACTACCATAAAAATATCACCCAATCACCATTGTCAGATCATGGTCCTTGAATTACCGTTGCTTGACTACAATCTTTTCAATCTCTATAGCCCAAATATGGTCCTTCCTTGCCATGGGGCTTTCCCAACTTCAACAACATGATATGTACTTTATTAATTCCTTCCCTTGAGGAACAACATCATTTGTAATCGATGACAAAAACTTTTGAAATTGCTTTTAACTAGGATAGACCTTATGGTTTTTCTCTTTCTAGGGCATCCCAAGTAAAAACTCTAGTGTCTCTTATAGTTCTACACTCCTTCATTAGTTTAGTGTGTCTTATATCAAAATGAAACATCACCATATATTAGTTTATACTAAAAAATGATTTACATGAGGGGAATTTATTAAAATACTAGAAAAGATTTATACATTTACATATCTAAAATCTAAATTCTTATTTTTATTTATATAATATTTAATTTTTTTAATGAAATTCTAAATATCACTAATATTAATTGATTTAAATTAAAACAAGAATTTCATATATCTAAATGAGATTTAGATACTAAAAGGTTATATAAATAAATATTAAAATTTAGGTGTTAAATATGTAGATAATTATTAAATTTTTTATGCTTATGAAAATCCTCCTTGATAGCTTCATTTATGAGGAGCTTGTTGATCATCATTTTAATTGCATTAAATTTGCTTGAATGACATGTATGAGTGCATCATCCTTGGCAAAATTTAAATGACCTCTAGAATATACAAGCTGGAACAATAAATCTTAGTGCCTTTGGGGATGATTTCAATTAAAAAAAAAAAAAAACAAGCAAAATATAAGATACATATAAAATTAAATACATAACTATTTTATTAATATAGAAATAATTGTAAGTGCGCACGTTTCTTCCCTGGAAATGATGCCAAAAACTTGATGGCATGTGATTTGTTTATGTTAGGCTATGCTGATTGTTATTCAAATATAAATCCTCACTAAAAATGCAAGTGCATATGTCAATCTAGTAATAAAAGTGTCAGGAGAGAGTGTTGATCCCATGATGAAGTATTCTGCTTCAAACAATTATTCTAGTAACATCTACTTCAAGCTACAAAAATTATCCTATATAACAAAATTAGGGATATATTCTATATAATGTTAGAATTACAGAAAAAAGTGAAGATATCAATATATAAAGTGTTTTGCACTAATGATATTGAAATATCTTAAGCTTTCCTAAGTAGGCTCTCCTAAATTAATTTTGAATCATAACATATGCATCCCTTGATCTGAGTTGAGGTTATAAGGATACAAAGAAAGGTTCATGGCCTTCTTACAGTTATTTCTCTCTATAGAATCTTGAATACTAAACATCCTATGTCTAGGCATACAAGTATTCCATTCCAATTCCCTTAATTATTTCAATATTCCTCCACTAAGGCAATATGTCACACTAGATTTTAATTTCACACAACCACTACATAGATCAAATAAAAAGTGATAGAGAGAGAGATATTAAAAATGACCATTCATAATTTTAAGCACCAGAGTCTAAATTAGTAATTACATAGGTTTTCATAGCATTAGTCCAAAACTATGAGTTTAGCAGGACATAGATAAAAAATAAAATAATAAATTTTTTATTACTTGCTCCAAAAAGAAAGTACAAGTAGAAAAAAAGTAAAAAGTTATCACCCAAAATGAAGGACCTTAAATGGATCCTGTAAATGAACCCTTTTCCAAAGTGAATCTCTCCCTACAACTTCTCTCTTCAACTTCTTTTCTCTCCAAATGCTTGATTGCTCACTACAAAGAAAAATAAAAAATAATTAATACTTATTAAAGAAATGGCTTAGGCACTGTAATGCTTGATAAGATGACAATGTAGTGTTATAATATAAAATAGCACCTCGTTGCTACTAAATGTTCTCTGCTACAACACTTGGCTAATGCAACATGGTTATTTGCTGATATGGTGTTATGTTTGACTAATTGACGTGCTACTTCTTTTTGTTAATTGCTCCTCCACATCATCATAAAAGTTACGCGTTGCAATGCTTTCTTATGTTATGTGGCACTATGGCACTTCTAAGGATGGAACTTCCATGTTGAATTATTATGTAATTTTATTGATACACTAGTGTTGCAATGTTGATTTCTGGAACTGCGATGCTATGTAGCGTTGCGGTGTTGACCATTAATCTACTGGGATTCTAAATTAAATGACATTTTTCCTGATACACATATGCTGCAATGTTTAAATTTGGTGCAATTGTGCTAAGATGCTACAATGCTTATAGATAAAATGCTGCGATGCTAGTTTAATACTTGTGAATTTTTCTTTATTTTCTAAGATATTCGTGCACATCATCAACTAAAAATAAATATATTCACTAGAATTTAACATAATAAAATGCTAAATAATTTTTAATTAACACACAATATAATCATTTTACTGAACATGCCACACAAATATAAATAATATAACA